TCATTCTTTGAAGGATTTTGATTTAACATAGTATTCTCTTACCGATTCCAGTGCCCATACTTTCTTTCACTACACTAAAGATTTCTTACTGGTAGGGCTATTTTTTTACACCGATAATGCATTAATCTGCACATTATCATATCCATCCTTAAGTTTTTTTCTAGATTCCTTTATCATTTCACATTTGGGTGATGTGCTTAACGATAACAATACTGTGTTTGCTGTTGACTTCGACCAAGTTATTAATCGACTACCAACCCTTGAGTTATTTCAGCATTTCACCAGATTCATATTCAAATTTATCCTTCTGCAACCATAKAAATTAACTTAACCCATTTTTCATTTATATCATCATTGTGTTCATCATAGAGTCTAGTCACAACTGTCTCCTTTGACGACAAATACGTACCATCAGTCGACTTCGTTACTTGTTTTACCAACTAATCAATTAACTCCCCTTTCATAAAACACATGCCACCATTTGGTTCTAATGACCCAATTCATACCCTTATAGTCATTCTTACACAAGGAATTTTGTAATAACCTTTTACATGCTCGTTGATATTTAGGATATTATGCCTTATTCATAACATTGATTATTCTAAGTGCACATCTTTAYTTATTTCATCATCTTCAATTTATATTGCAACTCACTTATCTTTGACTTAATGCAAAATATCTCATGCAATTTTACACTATTCTAGCTTTGATGTCTTTCTAGCTATAACTATGGGAACAATTCCAATGCCCCCTTTTTAAGGCTTAAAGGTTATACGCTTGGATAAACCTTATTATTTAACCATAAAATATTTCTCACTTACTAAACCTGATAATTTATTACAAATAACACTTTCTTTTACCACCTTCTTGCTTTTATATCTGGCTCAAAGCAACACATGCTTACTAACAATTTCATAAAATCAAWTAAGTTAATATCATCTTCCAACCACTTGTGAGATGCCTATGGAGAATAATAGAACCCCAATGTCCTACTGGATTAATCAATCATAGTCTTCTACATTCTAAGACCATTTCACACACTGATTTGGTGTCTTTTACTTTAAGAAACTAATCATGTGAGAACCCTTAGATCTTCTCATAGGGTTTATATATTATCTCGACATTCCAACTCGATTGAAAAATCTTTCAACTAGTCGTGCATCCAATCAAGATCATCAGTTTTTACCATGAATCTGTTGCCATAATTGATTACACGAATAACCTCGTTGCTAATCTCAAAATCACATAAAGCCATATTATAACATCGATTGAGATAAAGAATAAAATAAAATATTAAAATCACGATGTATCTCGCTGCATTGCGCGAGTACGCTTCTAGTATAGTATAGATATAGATAATAATAAATAAAATTGAAATTCTATTCATTATCATATATTATATTTAGTGATTTGTTTTAAATATATTATAAAATAGAGTGAATTATACTGGTGGTCCCTAAGGTTTGCTTAAATTTTGAATTTGGTCCCTAAAACAAACTATCTACAATTTTGGTCCTTAACTTTTCATTTCATAATGCCCATTAATTAACAACCATTATGATGGACTCATTGGTTTTTAAACAAACTTTAAATACCAAAAATGCAATATACTCTAATATATAATATAATTCACGTTTTCTTTTTAACTTTTTATTAAAAAAATATTTTATGTATTTAATCACAAATCAAATATCTTAAATAAAATATATATTAAAAAAAATTATATTTATGTAAAAATATAAAATTCATAAAAAAAATTAGCGTTAAAAGATTTCGAGTTTAGAAAAACAAAAGTAAATTCACATATCTTTTGAGTTGAGAATTGAAATATGCGAACAAAATATTGAAAATTAAGTTTTGTTAGAGATTATTAATATATGGTCAAACTACAATTAATTACAATAACAACAAAACATAAATTATAAATTAAGATTAAAAAACACTAATTATTCAAACAATTAAGAAGCTATCACTGCAACAAATTTAGGTTTATATGACGCCATAAAAATTAAGCGTCTTAATAGACCACTTTATAAGACTTAATTTATAGAAACGAAAATAAAATGTACTATCTAAATGTATTGCAATAAGTTTATAGAACGTTTTTAGACGTTCTAACAAGTTTTTAGAATACTTATAATATAAAGCATCGCATAAACAACTTTATATGACATTACCTTAAAAAGTCTTCTATAAAACCAAACGTCCTATGAAAAGATGAGTTTCTAGGACACTTAAGTTTTTGACGTCATATAAACCTAATTTTGTTGTTGTGATAGTTTTTCTTAAATGTTTGAATAATTAATATTTTTCTAATATTAATTTATAATTTCTACTCTGTTGTTATTGTAATTATTTGTAGTTTGACTATATATTAATAATCTCATAGCCAAACTTAGTTTTCAATATTTTGCTCGGATATTTCAATTCTCAACTCAAAATATATGTGAATTTATCTCGGTTTCTTTTGTTTTTTCTTAGCTTCAGATTTTTTAACGCTAAATTTTTTTTTTTGTGAATTTTATAGTTTTTAAAATCAATATAAAGATTTTTATTTGATATGTATTTTGTTTAAAATATTTGATCTGTGATTGGATATAAATATTTTTAATAGAAAATTATAAAAAAAAACGTGAACTATATTATATTTTAGAGCAGATTGCAATTTTTGGTCCCTATAGTTTGTTTTAAAGACCAATGAGTTTTTCATATTAGTTGCTAACTAACATTGTTTATGAAAATGAAATTTAGGGATTACCAGTGTCAATAGTTTGTTTTAGGAATCAAATCTAAAATTTAAGCAAACCACAGGGACCATCAATGTAAATCACTCTATAAAATATTAAATCTGACTATTCTTTTAACATCTCGTTTTTTTATCATTTTGCATTTTTCAACTAGTTTATAAGCTAGTTTTTGTTAAATATCATTAGAGTCGATTTGGTAGCGACTTAACGAGCTTAATAAGGGATATAGCTTACTCATTCACCTATGAAGAGGTGTTTGTTACTGACTTAATGATAAAGCCAATGACTTATTCGCTGAGCTTGAACAGAGAGCTTTCTATTGAGACAAACGTTTAATTTCATCTCTACCCCCCTAAAAAAAACTCGCTCAGCTCTCTCATCAGCTGCCATAAAGCCCAAAACCTTTCACACGTCAAAGCCCTCATGCCAAAACACTCTCACATCGAAACCCTCTCATCGTCTCCACCAAGCTCCTCGTCAGTTGAGCAGAAAAATACCAAGTGAAATATGGGGTTTTTTTTAGATGAGCTCTTGAGATGGCTTTTGCAAAAAAAAAACAATTTATTAAAAACACAATTTTCTTCCATTACTATAAATTATAATGGTTTATTAACTTGTTCAAAAACTTCTTATTACCGGTTTGGCACCGGTATAAATTGTTTATCCAAACACACAAACGTGCTTATTACCAATGCCACACCGGAATAAGTTAATAAGTTATTTTTATAAGCAATTTCAAACACCCCCTCAATAAAGCAAAAAATAAAGAGAAAGGTAATACATTAATTTTTGTAATTCAGACAGTTTATTCAACACAACAAACAAACAATATTTTTATTTATTTATATAGATAACTTTTTTATATACAACTAACTTTATCCATACATGACTTGATAAAAAACCAATCAATCAACCGAAAACATTTACAAGCATTTCTTATCATTGCATTTTTTTTATATAATCATGTTTATTTTGTAACCACAACAACGTAATTATTTTTTTTATATTTAAAGTGATTTGCTAATAGTATAATATGTTAATCAATGAAAACCAGATAGTAAATAAAATTAAATAATAAAATATGTTAACTAATGTATTTCAATTTGATTTATTATATATATGATATTAAAAAAATTGGATTTGTATAACCAAATACAAATTTTAGAAAATATCAACATTAAATGAGGATTTTAAATAACTATTACGTACAATATAAACAAAAACAAAGTTGGTCAACTTTATACGTATTTTAGTCGACTAGAAGGATACTCATGCAATGCAGCGATATGAATATCGATTTTAATGTTTAGTTTTTATTATTTGTCTTTATTGATATAATACGATTTTATGTGGTTTTGAGAAAGCGATAATGATTTTATTATTTTCTTGTTGTAACTTATTTAATTCAATTTTTTTATTATATTTTAATTTAGATTTAATAACAAAATAATTTATTTTTTGTTTAATAATATAGTTTTTTATAAAAATAATTAAACATTATATTAGAACTCAATTATTATCTTAATTATATTTTAGTTTTTCTATATTTAAAATGGATGTTTATGATTATGTTTATCTGCAGTTAGTTACACAAACTTAAAAATAGAGCTTTAATTAGTTGTACTTATGCAAAATTACTTGTAATCTTGAATTTTAAGTAATATGCATCAATAAACAGTACTTCATGCATAAAAAATGGCGTTTAAGAGTTTTTCTCAAATGCTTTATAATATAGTATAGATTAATAACATCTCAAAAAAAATTAAATTAAATATTTTATCAAAGTTTTATTATTCATGAAACAAAAGAAATATATAACATTAAATWTTATKTAWTTTACAAAAACATTTTTAAAGTTATTATATATTTATTTTTGAATGACTAAATATATTAAAAATAACTGATATAATTAATAATAATTCTTGATTAAAATTAATTAATAAACTAAAACTGAAATTAATTAATAATCAATATTAACGAGAGTTATAATTGTAAAAAGTGATTAAAAAAAACACTCAAAACACTATTCCAACTAGCATTTTAATAAGCTATTTTTATACAAATGTGTACTAAAAATAAGTTAGCTTATGTACGCCAAACAATGTTTAAACGTTACGTTCTAGAAAACTTAATCAATACCGTTCATCCTTAAAAAATACCGTTCACAGATAAAAAGAAAGAAAGCACCAAACGAAATTAAATGTAAAACTGTAATAAAATAATATCGTCGAATCAACATCGTCATGCTCTACATTTGACGTTAAAATTTCTATCTACAACCTATACAAAACCTCGGGTTTTTCACATGTCCTCGAATAATCTCTACATCTATAAATCATTATGTTGCATACATTTTTATAAAATTAACCCTAAAAAGTTAAAATCATACCAATCGAGTTAAAATCGTCATCAAGAATGGTATGATTTGTAACGGGAGACTTCCCATTGCCGTTACTGTTATTCAATTTTAGCGTTTGTGGTCGTTGATTCCATGGCTTTCCTGCGAATCCAACGCATTGTGATGAATGAATTCAAGAACATGAATAGGAATGCGCCATTGAGGACGGAATTGAAAACCCAAGCCCCAATTCCATTGCATCCACCTCCTGATACTTGCAGAAATAATACTCCGCAATGACAAATCAGATTCAAGATCAACAAGAAAATTTGAATGTTGGCCACCAGCGGGAACGAGGCGGTCGGTAATCCTAATTCCGTCCAGAGACGGTATCCGTAGACGATGGAATACGTGAAGGTGGTGAAGACGATTTCGAGTACTTGGAACGATTGCGAGAATTCCAACCATAGGAATGACATCACCATTGGAATGGAATTGGTGAAGAGTTGGAATAAGGAGAGCCTACGGCGTCGTAAGATGGTGAAGAAAGTTCGGATCACGTGGAGGTAACGTGACAGGTAGAAAGCGTAGGACCAGAAGAAGACGCGCCCAGAGGGGCGCGTGCCAAGTGGGAAACAGAGGAGCCATTGGAGTGGGGTTTTGGTACGCCCCCATAACCATCGGGTGTCGCGGATCTCAGCGACGGCGGACGTGAGGGTTCCGGCGAGTATGATGGCGGAGATGATGGACATGGCGAGGCTGTGGAGGGCGGGGAGGGGGCCGAGCGGAACAGGGCGGGTGCGGTGGCGGAAGAGGAGGAGGAGGATGTGGAGGACGACGGAGACGATGAAATAGAAGGAGATGGAGGAGAAGAGGAAGACCCAGGTGGCGCCCCATGATTGGGCATGGCTCCAGCGGAATCCGACGACGGCAGGGTGCTCCGATAGCAGGTAATGGAGGCGATTGAAGGGTTGAAAATGCATATTGATGTGGTGGAAGAGAAGAAAATGGAGAAGAAAAGGAATATATAATGGATTAGGTGGTGGGAAAGAGGATTAAAGAAAGATGAAGGGGAATTTGACTTTTGAATAGGAAGTCGATGAATGCTGATGTTTAAGCTTATGGAATGTTCTTTTGCATCTTCGTCTTCTTTAGCAGCCCATTCTGGAATTTTGATGTTTTCAATATATAAACCTTTTCCTTTTCATAAATAAATAAATAAATATATATATATATATATATATATATTTTCCAAAAAAGTTATCTTAAATAATTAAATTTTTGGATTATATTACGAAACATTTGATAAAAACATATTTATATATAAATATTGTTTATTGATGTATATTACTTAAAAATTTATTTTTGAATGTGTGTAACTAACTGAAAATAAACATAATCAAATAGATGATAAACATCTCATCTTATATATAAAAGATTAAATCTATACTATATTATAAAGTATTTGACAAAAACTCTTAAAAATCATTATTTATGCATGAAATACTGTGTATTAAAGCATATTACTTAAAATTTAAGATTACAAGTAAATTGTGCGTAAGTACAACTTATTAAAGCTCCATTTTTAAATTCGTATAACTAAGTGTAGATAAATATAATCAAATATAGGATAAACATCTAATTTTAAATATAAAAAATCTAAAATATAATTAGGATAATCATTGAACTTTTTATAAAATTTTATTGTTAAGTCAAAAATAAATTACTCCACTAAATTCGTAAAAACATTATCTTTCTTAAAACCGCATAAAATCGTATTCTATCAACAGAGACAAAAAACAAAACGAAACTTTAAAATGAAGATATATCTCGCTGCATTATGCAAGTATCCTTCTAATATATAATTAGGATAATCATTGAGTTTTAACAAAATACTTAATTATTATATTTATAAAAAATTATATTATTAAACAAAAAATATAAAAATAAATTAAAGAAATACACAAAAAAACAGAGAAACTTTAAATAGTCAGTTTGTTACTAATATCAATATTTTTTTTCAATTTTTTATGATATATCTTCATATTTATAATTTATTTAAAAATGAAAGCATTATTGTTTTCTCAATACCACATAAAACCGTATTATAAAATCGACTGAGACCAAAAAAATGAAACATTAAAATATATATGTATCTTGTTGTATTTTGTGAATACCCTTCTACTATTTATAAGAGATTTTGTATAATATTTAAATAGTAAATATTTTAAAACAAATACATTTTCTTTAGAGATTTCAATGTTTATTATACTATTAAAATATTTTATAAGTTAATAATTTTAATACATTTTATAAAATAATAATTACTTATTTAACTGAGGAGATAAATATAAATTTAATTTTTCTTTAGTGGAAATGAATAAAAAAAATTATTTTCTCTCATACATAATGTTTTAGAGAATTCTCTAAACTTATAGTTTTTTACAGTTTAAATGACAATATAGAGAATCTGTTATATCAAAATAGAGAACAAAAAATTTATTCTCATTATTTCAAAGAATCTATTGAAGATGTTCTTATTTTCACAGTTTTATAGAATCTATTAGAGATGCTTATATATATCATTCTGTGGCATATATTAAATTATTTGTAAAAATAAATAACTAAGGTGATCGATTTTAGTTGCTAATCGTTATCATTTTATTTAAGTTCAAAGATTTGTTATTTAAAAAAGAGAAAATTGTATCAAAATGAAACCAACTTTCACCTGATTCTTATTTTGGGAACCAACTTTCAAAATTGTCATTTAGGAGTCTCTATCAAACTTTTTGTTTATTTAAAGGTCCGGTTGACTTGTTAATGCTGACATCATCCACATTTTTTGTCAACTAAGATATTTTACGTCATATTAATTTTTTATTTTAAAACTAATATTTCACATCATATTAATTTTTTATTTTAAAACTAATATTCCACGTCATATTAATTTTTTATTTTAAAACTAATATTTTACGTCATATTAATTTTTTATTTTATAACTAATATTACATGTCATATTAATTTTTTATTTTAAAACTAATATTCCACGTCATATTAATTTTTTATTTTAAAACTAATATTTCACGTCATATTTAAAATTGCAAAATAATTATAAAAAATAACTAAAATTCGTTTTTTTTTCAAAAATTATTATAATAAAATCTATTTTTCAGGTTAATAATTTTTTTAAAAAAACGAGATTTGGAATGAAAAATAGAATTAATTACAATATTTTTTGAAAAAAAAATAAATTTTAGTTATTTTTATATAATTATTTTGCAATTTTAAATATGACATGGAATATCAGTTTTTTAAAATAAAAAATTAAAACGACGTGGAATATTAGTTTTAAAATAAAAAATTAATATGACGTGAAATATCTTAGTTGACAAAAAATGTGGTTGATGTCAACATTAACAGGTCAACAAGTCAACCGGACCCTTAAATAAACAAAAAGTTTGATAGAGACCCCTAAATGACAATTTTGAAAGTTGGTTCCCCAAAATAGAAATCAGGCGAAAGTTGGTACCATTTTGATGCAATTTTCTTTTTAAAAAATGTCTAGGGTTTTAGTAGCTTAAAATATAAAAGTCTATTGGCATGCTTAGGAATGACAATGGTCGGTCATTACCCTTCCCTGAAACCTATAACCAAAACCATGTCTGTAACTATCTCGATCCCTACATGGGGGATCTTATCAGGGATCCCATCGGTATCCGTGGTTTCCCCAATCCTCGATCGGGAACACATTAAGGGTAAAAATCTATGTTTACCATTGGTTATACCTTAACCAAAACCAGCCTAACAACTCTACAATATGTTAATTTTTACAACTAAAAATAAATTACAATTTTTTAAACATGCAAATCTAAATGTTTCAAATATAATCAAATAAATTATGAACAATGTATTAGATTATAATTTAAAAGTAAATAGAAGTTCAAATATTAACCGACTAACATCATGATTTCACGAATAGACAAATAAGTTTGACTATTTCGTGAGACTTATTTGAGATGTTGAAGTAAAGTGGATAAATGTCTTTTGAATTTTAATGTTAGTATTTTTCTTTTAATATATATATATATACACATACTGGACAAGGACTCGCCGGTGATCACTGCTCCCTTCCCCTCCCGATAAGAAATCGATGTACCCGACCCGAAAATTTCGGTTTTCAGTTTCGGGATTTTTTTTGTCATCCCTAGGCGTACGTTAAAGTATCAAGAGACTTAATCACTTAAACTATTAGAGTATGTTGGGTTTTTGTGGAGTTTTCCTAGATTTTGTAGACCGTAAAGACCAATTTGAGTAAGTCTAACGAACTTTTCCACAACTACTCTATTTATTTTTACATTGTTTTGTCGCATCCATGTTTATATGTCAATGCATTTTATCTTATAATGGTGTTTGAAAAGTGGACGATAATTATTGGAGGTTCAAGGATGACAAGAGTTCATCGATTCCGATAGAAAATGATGTAACAGACTTGTAATTAAACAACAGTTTGTTTGAAAAATACGTGATCAATAAGTTTAAATAACTTAAAGGGAAATTCCATGTCCAAGTATTAATGGAATAAACATTCAAAAAAACGATTCGTTTATGTACAAGTCCAGTTGCACATATTGATCTTGTTAATCAATGATTATCATTTAAATATTATAGCCTACTTCTAAAGTTTTCCGCTGTCACCTACGCTCGAGACATGCCTCCTATCGTGCTTTCTTCCCTGCCCCCCTACTTAACTTAAGAATCCAAAGGTGACTTCTTTCCTAACTAGTTTGCTACCAGGGAAGCTCCTCTTTTTGACCTCCTTGTATTTAACTGCTTTTTTATTATTATTATTATTATTAACCTGGATATCCAACCCGTTATGCAAGCCGACTAATCCCAGGACGACCACCTGCTTTGCAGATAGCCCGGAGTCACCGCATTTGAACCTTCGTAGCCACAAGGAGATTTTTATTCCTCCTTGGATTTGAACCTGAGACCTCCTGATACTTTTGACTTTTGGAGCCAAGCTCAAACCAATCAGACACCACCCTTGTGGTTATATTTAACTACTTTGGTATAGGGGTCGTGGGTATCTATGGCCTTCCTACTTTTTAAAGATAAACCATGCGAAATTTTTTTTGATGTTTTTAAAATCACAAGTATTGTTATCACTTAAATTATCTCTTGTAATATCGTTTTGCTCGATCGAGCATGATGATGTATGTTTGATAGTAGTTTGCTACAATGTATACATTTGAGAGAGAGAATGAACTGAGAGGGAGAGTTTATACGAAAGGTTTAGATACAGATGAATATTCTGCAAAAAAGACAACTTTGAAGTATATTTCTCTTTAATACGTAAATATTAGAGCATACTTATATATGAAGAGGTATCAAGCATAAAACCTCAAATTTCTCGTTATAATTATAGATTTATGGGTGTAAATTTGATAATATGTATGTTTATTTTTAAAACCTTGTTGGTTTATGAGTTTAGGTTTGCATATCATCACCATTACTAATTTTGGTTTGTTAATATTTAGACATAAGAATGTAGGGTTGGGTTCACGTGAGACAAAAGGTTTTTCGTGAGACCCGTAAGACCAATTTATATTCATTGATCAACTTTATAAGTTAATGATCTAATGGTCTAAATTGCATAGTGGCAATTTTGTAATTATTGAGGAGTCTCGTGGCATTTATGAATGTTCAAATCTGACGATTRTAGATCTAATCCAAGGATTGAGAATTGGTCTTACGGGTCTCACGAAAAACACTTGGTCTCACATGATCCCAAGTCTAAGAATGTAATAAAATTTTGTTTTTATCCTTAATATATTACTTTTTTTGTCCCAAAATAAATATCTACGATGAAAAGGCGGTATAGTTTTAGAAATATGTAATTATTACACTTTTTTAATTTAAATGATCATTTTATTCTTAATAATAGAGGAAATGATGGATTTTTACATCTCAGAATTAAAAG